GCATTGACATTCTTTTACATTACTCTTCGAATTTTTGATGTTTGAAGGAGAACTCGGGAAGTTGAAAGTGTTCTTTAGAGTTTACTTTTCCTAGCTGAAGAAGGTTTTTGCATCCAGCTTTCATCGAGTCTTAAGACAATTTGCATGACCACGCTGTATTCGTTTGGAAAAATAGTGTTTCGTACAATTGTTGGCAACTATCTAAAAGGTTCATACAGTATTGGGATGTCAACTCAATGGAGTCCAAAAATTTCGAAGTTCATCAACTTTGATAAACAAATCTAAAGAGCCTGTCGTGTAGACATTTCAGACAAAGTGCTTATTCATAAAAAATCGTAGGCAAAGATTGTCCAGAGCAAAGTTTGCGAGAATCCTCCAAAAACAGATTTAGTGCAGTTTACCTGGAATAATAACATTCACTAAGCACTTCACGGAGAACTTCTTCTTGCTGAGATACGTTAACAGAAAAATTAGAAGGACAAAATAGTTGAAAATTTGGCGCAGCTCTTACGGTGAGGAAACATACTAAGCACTCGAGAAACGGACTATGGAAGACTGCAGTATATTAAATACCTGACTTTTTCGAAAAACTTATGCTCCCCTCGAAATTAAACGCTCCATAATAGAAATAGAGAAGCGAGATGTAAAAAAAAGAACGTAATGGTGTTGAGATAATGTACAAACGATTTGGCCAACCCTTGATGATTTTCGAAATGAAGCTACTACAGTCAGTGGAACAGCTTAATCAATTCAGCCAGTTCAAGTGGTGTTAATTTCGCTGCTTTTGGTGCCAACTCATAAACATCGCTAGAGAACATGACCGAAAACTCTGGAGGCAGCATTGTATGACGTCATCAGCGCGACTCATCTTGGCCGCCGGGCGCGTTGCCATTAGTGGTAAACAACACCGGAACATACACACACCATGCTGACTCACATGGGGGTGCTAGCGCTTTATATAATAGTATGGATATATATATATATATATATATATATATATATATTAGGTCGTTCCGAAAGTAATGTCGCTTTTTTCAAACGTACGCCACATTTCGTGGAACAAAGATGTGTAAGAGGTTCTGGTAGCATTTGATGCAGCATTTCATTCTCTTTCTAATGGTTATAAAACTACCGCACAAAATTGAATAACCTCTGGGAAAATTATCGGAATCTGCGACCCATGCTTTTTGAGAAGGTCAAGCTTCACAATTTTTCCAAATTTTTATAAAAACTCCCGGAAGGAGTCCAAGTTATATACGGATAGAGCAAACCCTACGGGAAACAGCACAACTTTTTTCTACTTTTCAGAGCTCGTCATAATTTCTGTATAGATTTTTTGATGGAATTATCGAATTTTAGCAGGCTCGTCTCAGAACAAATGCATCAAACACCAGGAAATCTTTGGATTTTGAAACTTACAAAAATGGATTATGGTTTTACACTAATTTTACAAAGCAAATGAGCATTCACGCTTTAGATCAGCAACTTTCGAAAATTCCTGGTACAGCCTGGGGCGCCTTGGAAAACCTGAATTATGATGATTTTATCTCGGAAAACTTGATGAATCGGAAACCAAAAACAACTGGTAAAAAGAGGAGAGAAAGCTGCGTCGAATGACAGCCGAGTTGCTTGCCGGTTGTTTTTCTGTGAGGTTTGAGTTGATCAAATATGGAATTTGATGGCATTTTAAAACTGATTCCAGAAACTCTAAGAAGCAAGCTAAGGAAAAGAGAAAAATTACTCTGTGTCCTATAAGGTTTGCTCTATCTACCTGCCACTTGCACTTCTTTGGAGAATAGGTACAAAAGCTTTAAAAAATTGCCGAACTTGACCATGGCAAAAAGCATGAGTTGCAGATTTTGTTGATTTTTCAAAAGCTCAATGAAAATTTTTTTAATGAAATTACACCCATTAGAAAGAGGATGAAATGCTGCATCGAATGCTTCTCAGATCTCTTGAAAATTTTGATTCCTTGAAATGTGGCGTTCATTTGAAGAAAGCGACATTACTTTCGGAACGACCTAATATATATTAGGTTGAACCGAAAGTTCTGTCCCTCCATTTTCAAAAATTCGTAACTTCGCCAGATTTCAACGGATTTGCTTACTCGTAATTTTATTAGAAAGAATAGATCTTCCGCTTTCAAGCCCTGTTTTGCGGAGCTTCTGTTTCACACTGAGTGCCGAGATAAAAATGGAAAACTAAGACCATGTAAACTTTGACCATTTTAAGTTAGGTCACCAAAAATCTGGAATGCTGCAGAAAAATCTGAAATCGTCAGTACATATGTTTTTTGGCCTACCCTTTGCATCTGTGAAAAGTTTGTGTTGTTTGGACATCTCTGTGAGAAGTTATGAATATCGAGTTTACTATGGATAACGCCAAAATTAATTAATTTGGCAATTTTCGTGAAAATCATAACTTCTCGCAGAAACGTCCAAACAGCGCAAACTCTTCACAATTGCAAAGAGTAGGCCAAAAAACATATGTACTGACGATTTCAGATTTTTCTGCAGCATTCCAGATTTTTGGTGACCTAACTTAAAATGGTCAAACTTTACATGGTCTTAGTTTTCCATTTTTATTTCGGCACTCAGTGCGAAGCAGAAGCTACATAAAACAGCGCTTGAAAGCGGAAGATCTATTCTTTCTAATAAAATTACGAGCAAGCAAATCCGTTGAAATCTGGCGAAGTTACGAATTTTTGAAAATGGAGGGACAGAACTTTCGGTTCAACCTAATATATATATATATATATATATATATATATATATATATATATATATATATATATATATATATATATACAGGGTGTCCCAAAAGTAAGTACACACTTTTCAGTTGTCAATATCTCTCTTCCCATTGTGTCTTTTTCTTCCATTTGATTACCATTCTGTAGAGGAGGTTTCAACTTAGATTTGAAGTATCGAGCGATTCACCGACCATTCTTCATTACTGTAGGATTACGGTACGAACTTCGACAAGGATTTTAACCCATTGGAGGCCATATTCCCTCGGAACAAAACCAAACAAGCCAAAAAATTCTTATACTACGGCAGTGGGAGCCGCTGATTTCGAATTTGAAATTCCCATTTTACTGTGATGCTTCTTTTCTGAGTTATCCCCGCTAAATCGTAATAACTCAATTCCCAGCATTTGTCAGGAATGTAATTAAACCGTCAAAAAAGCTGAGAACACTCGTAAAAAGGTGTGTGGTGAAATCAGCGTGCGCGAAAACCCTAGTAGACAATTTTTTAGATTTTTTGCAGAAATTTTTGTCAGATGGCATATTTCACAATGGTTCCACATGCTGGAAGTTCTTACCGTAATCCTACAGTAACGAAGAGCAATCGGTGTATCGATCGACACTGTTAATCTAACAAGGGAAGGATACTCGGTCGAAGTGGCCATTTGGAATGAGCTGTATATTAGGAAACCGTCCTCCGTAAGGCAAACTCAAAACTACTCTCGCTAGGTGCCGAGCGGTTTTGTGGGGGGAGTTACAAGGCCATTTTTCTCCGGCGCAGCCAGCGCTCCCAGTGATGAGCGAGGCGCTAAGATAACACAGCAGTGTGGCAGTGGCGCAGTGGCAACGCAGCGGACTACGAAGCAGATGGTCGAGGGTTCGAGTCCTGTTGCTGCTCCCTTGTTTTGCAGTTCTGTAAAAAGTCTATTGGGTGACAGCAAACGAGAAATACTATTTCTATGCAGTTCAAACAAGCTATTTACTGCAAAAAAAAGTCACTATTTCTACAATAAGCCCATAATATTTTATAATATGTAAATCTGTGGAGGTTATGATGTCACAACAATGGGTTCAAATGATATATTAACATGTATGGAATACAACCACAAAATGCTTAAAGCAGAAGAGCTTCTCGCAACGCGCGCACTTGCAAAATTGCAATCGATTCACATCCCATTTATTGGCTCTTGATCTGAACTTCACCTTGCATCATAGGGATTCCATCCTTAAGATCTTATCGCTCATTTACACACAATTTTGCTCGCCGCGATTCAAAAATTTGCTTTCATACCCATCAATGCAGCCGGATACATTGACAACCACCCCGGCGAATTCGAGGCTCCTATTCAGTACTGTTTTTCACCGACTTTAATAGGCAATTGTGAAGCTGCTGATTGTCATCGTTTTATTTTATCCTGTGCGCGCTGCGAGAAGCTCTTCTACTTTGAGCATTTTGTGGTTGTATTCCATACATGTTAATATATCATTTGAACCCATTGTTGTGACATCATAACCTCCACAGATTTACATATTGTAAAATACTATGGCTTATTGTAGAAATAGTGACTTTTTTGCAGTAAATAGCTTGTTTGAACTGCCTAGAAATAGTATTTCTCGTTTGCTGTCACCCAATAGACTTTTTACAGAACTGCAAAACAAAAGAGCAGCAACAGGACTCGAACCCTCGACCATCTCCTTCGTAGCCCGCTGCGTTGCCACTGCGCCACCGCCACACTGCTGCGTTATTCTAGCGCCTCGCTCATCACTGGGAGCGCTGGCTGCGCCGGAGAAAAATGGCCTTGTAGCTCCCCCCACAAAACCGCTCGGCACCTAGCGAAAGTAGTTTTGAGTTTGCCTTACGGAGGACGGTTTCCTAATATACAGCTCATTCCAAATGGCCACTTCGACCGAGTATCCTTCCCTTGTAAGTTGAAGCCCCCTCTACAGAATGGTACCTGAATGGCAAAAAAAGACCCATTGGGAAGAGAGATGTTGACGATTGAAAAGTGTGTACTTACTTTTGGGACACCCTGTATATATATATATATATATATATATATATATATATATGAGATAACACACAGCAACAATAGTATCAACAACTACATGTCAAGAATATATAACCAGATCGGAAAAAACTAGCAAAGCGACAAAACTATCAAATCTATAATGTATATATAAAGACATATCTGAACAAAAATAGAACCTAAAATGAGGAGTTTGTCAATGCCCAAATCAAAAGGGCACTGACAAACGCGCAATACAAATCAGAGAGAAAGGTTAAAAAGTAGATGTTTGTGAAAATCGTTGATCAGAGGACATATGAATCTGTCCGATTCTCTTATGAAACTTGGACATGGATTCTTCGTCGACTTTCAGGAAACACTGTGCAGTACATTCTTTGGTGGCCTGAAGCAGGAATCATCGCTCTGCTCGTTGCAGACCGAGAATGAGGAGATCGAGCACCAAACCGTAGTACTAAAAATGAGATACTAACATCCATGTTGAAAAGTCAAAACCATAATTCTGGGCACTAAAGGTTCAACACTTACCTGTACGATGAACAAAACAAACTGAAGTCTCTGATGATTGCAAAGCAAATCGTGTGGTTCATATCTTTGTATTTTATGAGAACGTTGTTCTTTGACGACATGTACAGCCTAAAAGAGAACTTAATTCAAAACTGCTTTTCCACACACCAGAAGGGACTTACCTCAGCAATATTCAGCAGTGCCAAATCTATCTTTTTAACTACTTTCTCCAATTTAGCCTCCATCATCATGCTACATCCTCCTAGATAAAAGTAGATGAGAGAGACGAAAATTATTTTGTTCATCTTAAGATATACCTTCTCCACTTACTCACACATCTTACAAGTTCTTAATACCCTGGCACCATTTGTAGACAAGAAGTGGAGATGGCTCAGTGTCACCAGGCTTGACCCATGATGGGAACAGCCTGAATGAGAGTTTTCAAGATTATTTCAGAAGACCAAAACAAACTGACACCTGTTAGGTATCTATCTTAGGCACCCTTTGTCCTCCATCAACGATAGTATTGAATTACGAATTTAAAGCGAAGCCATTTCCATTGCTGTGTATCACACAGATAACACACAGCAACAATAGTATCAAGAACTACATGTCAATAATATATAATCAGGTCGGAATAACGAATTCCAAATCAGCTCCACCGCAGATCTCCCTATAGACATGTATTATCAACCTAATTCATCAACAACAAAAAATTTTCCACCCACCTCAGTCTGTCTATGCCGACGCCGAAGCATAGTACGTCACGCATGTAGAACAAATAGCGCGGTGGTCCAAGAGTAATCACTTCGTTCAGCTTGAAAGCATGTCTGAAATACAGCAGTGATAGACAACTCAAAAAGGTCAATAGAGCTTTTCAGTTACCTGTTTTGAGCGAAAAATTTCAACTTTTTTTTAGCCAAATAGGCCGACTCTCCGACTACTGTGATTCGTTCTCGCAAGAGATCGACATCGATGACAACTTTACCGCGCAACTTCTCACGAACAAAATCAACGTATTTCGCGCCGTGAACCTTGGATCAAATGGAGAAGATAAAATATTTGATATTGTAGCTTACCCATATAAGAGGCGTCCATAAACTTCATCAGAGCAATTTATATAAGTGCCTTCGAACAATGATACCAAACGCGTAGCCACCTCCTGAACACGCCTAAAGTAGAAAATTTAGATTTTCTCATTAGAAATACAATGCTCTGCTTATGAAGCTCAATTTTGAACTTTTACCAAAAGCTTACCGTACTGGCCATCCTTGCACGCTCAGCTCTCCTATACTGGTATCAACGTCATCGCAGTTATTGTGGCCCTTATTCCATGTTAAATCAACAATTTTCAAATAGTTCATTTCCTCGTTTGTGGCGTGAGCTGCCGCTGTTTCTTCGTCGTTGAGTTGCCTACATTAAGAAAAATTCAAGAAATAATTACAACCATAATCTTCGACCTCACCTTATAAAAGAATCACAAGCAAGTCGCACCTCTTTTGTAACTAGGACTGTTATCCAGTAAACTGGCTTTATAAATATCTAGCACATGATTTACTCAGATATTGCATATAAGCACCTCCTAACATCATAGAAGAAACTTTACAGACCTTCTGACATGCACTGGACCTCTCATCATAGAGTTTCGCAAACTCAGGCTGCCTTCCGTAAGAAAATCCACCAAATCTAGGCCTTGTTCCACATCATAAAATATCAGATTTGCCTCACAGGGAGTGGCAATATCCTCATTATCCCCCACATCCAGCACATGCCAACGCCATGGTAACTCATTGGAGGAAAGCAGCTGAAAATACAAAATGTCCAAAAGCTTTATCACCAACAATTACGAAGCTTACAGCTCTCCATTTCGTACGTAACAAAGGATCATGTCCATCCCACAAGCGACGCCTCATCAGATACTCAGCTACGGCGCGACTGATCTGTTGTTGTACCTTCACACTCAAACTAAAAACCAAAACACATGCAAATCCGTAGAAAGAGTGGAAACAAATTTTCTCACTCATTTCTACATGTGGTAACTCTTTCCAGATAAGCACGAACAATGTGGATGCCATTCGGCTCAAGAAGTTCTCGAATATGATAATCAAATTGCCGATCAGATTGATAGCAGTTAGATATGTACTTAATCGACTTCTGAAAGTTCTCAATTGAGAAAACTACACCTGAAACATGCGAAACTAAAATTTTCACACTTACAATATCACTCCCAAACCAGGTATGCCGCTCGGCTTCTAAATACCCGTGATAGAATAATACATCCGACGCCAACTTAGCGTCACTCGGAGTGTTGAACTAAAAGTTGCACATCCCACAATATAGCAGATGAGCAAGTGACCCGTATACCTGCACGACTCCTACCCCACTGGATGGTCGCTTATACCACTTGACACGAAAAGTCATAGTGACGTTAATTGTATTCTTCCAACCATCACATCCAACAATGAAAATTCGAGAAAGGTACTAAATTATACGCCGTAAACATCGCACAAAATTCATTCGATCGTACATCAGCCACTTTTCGACCACAACTTGAATGCGTTCGCAGCGCTTTTTCACTATCCTCAACCGTAGCAAACTGGATAACCGCCGGATCTTTGAACTTCACCATCCTATTTGAAAGAAAATAATTCGCTAAAACACGACGCTCGCTCTGCTTCAAGCGGCACGCCTAAACACGAACAAATTGATGCAATCTGCTCTGCTTGTTAGAACAGGAGGACTTACACGCACACTATTTTTGCAAAAGAAACGACAATAGTTCCCAAGATCTTCATCCTTTGGTACATCGACTATAAGTGACATGGATTTTCCGTTTGGTAGTAACTCGGATATTCCTCCGTCGCTGACAGCTATCTGTATGAAAAAAAAAATTCATAAACTCAATAGATTCTATAAACATAGAATAACAATCGCAATACCGGGTAAACAAAAAAAAACAACCCACTGTATTTTTCGATCCTAGTAAAGCAATTTCAAGTTTTTCTCTCATCACTGCACTTCGCTTTTCTCCAATTTTTTTCAACAGCGCATCACGCAACATGAAAGTCTCAGCTGCGTAGTTTTACATCGGGATAGTACACCTACAAATGCATATTATCTTAAGAAGTGAATGAAATCTTGAACAACTAACACAACTTAACAAGGATGTGTCCTGTTTTTTCAAAAGAGAGCTAATTAATCCAATCATTCTCCAATTCAGAGAATCATAAACTGCTCCCTGATCGAAAACATTAAGCAAATACACTTTTACATCCAGCGTGCAGGCAGCAGCTCACGATTCTTCATAATGACGATTACATTCTAAATATACTCACGCTAACGGTAAACTGACGAAGTACATCGCTAACTTCATGTGCTATATCAGCACGTGCAAAAGGATCAAGATCCTCAACCTAAAATGATATGCATAAAATGTCTTTTCTTTTCTAAGGAAGTAAGACACGCACAGTATAAGAATTATTTATATTCCTCCTGCACTTTTTCCTTACATAATTGAGTAACCGTTGCCGCAACTTGGGTCCTATCACAAAATCAGTTCGTAGATCTTGCTCGCGCATCTGCAACAAATGCTCTTCATTTTGCAGACTTTTTTTAGGTGTAAGGAATTTCAACCATTCATTACTTCGAAATTCTAACCTTCACTTCCCTCATGACACCGGGATGAATAACTTCTCCCAATTTACTTTTACATCAGCTTGTACGTTTACTTTACAATGAAACAAATCCTTCGACGAACATCTCTTCGGCACCTGTTCCGGATACCACATACGATATACTCTTTCCGCAGGAATCTATAATTTTTGCTCCAAAAAATGCAAATAATAGGAGAGAATATACAAACACAAATAAACAAGATATACAAAACCGTACCTGCACAGGCTTTGTTTCTTCTAAGCTGAGACTTTCTAGACTTCCCTGCTCACTAATTAATGAGCAGATTCGCTCCGCTGAAATTCTTGACCTTTCGGTATCCACCCGTACAATAGTGTGAGACACATCCGGTTCATTCTAAAAGTCACGAGTGCAGAAAAGTAAGGAGCTAATGTTATGCTCACCGCATCATCAACAGTTTCCCACATGCAGAATCCTTCATGAATAACTGGCCACTCATTCCTCAACTGCAATGAGCTTCAAATATTTTATCTTCAAGACCAAAAACTCTCATGCTTACCATTACTTTTCCGTCCGAGCAAAAAAATCCTTATCACAAATATATCGAACGACCGACCAATCGATCAACAGAACAAACTAGAAGCAAAACAAAAGAACAAAAAAACGATGTAGAGCGAATGCATAATAATTTCATAGACATGAAAAGATCATCATAGTTCAAAAACACCACAAGGATTAATATAATAGCACACACAAAGACTAACCATATAGCTAGTATAAGCTATATGGTATAGCTATAGCTATACCATATAGCTTATACTCTATAGCTAACGCATGAGTACTTACAGAGTAAGTACCATTTGAACCTGATGTAGAAGAGATCGAATTCACAAAGCACGGCTCATTTGTCTGAGAGCTACCAGCTCACTTGCAAACGAATGCATTTATGCTTCGATCCCATCGCATAAACATCTACTGCATCGCGCCCACTCACTCAAATTGACGATTCGTTTCATATGCGGTCTATGACGTCAAGTACGTTTTCTCTGAAGATCAGGTTTTGGGCGCTGCCTGCCGGAAAGAGATGAGGAAAGTTCTCCTTCGTTATGTAGGAAAAAGGCTTCGGATAAAAAGAAAAAATGCATTTCTTTCCTTCCGACCTCTACTCTTCCAAGAAGTCTAGTAAATAAAAACTGAATTAAGTGAAAGCGTAATGCTTCCAATTTGAACGTATCATTGATGTGATGTAGCACCCACGAGTTCGAGCTCCAAGGTAAATCACAGCTGAGCCGAAAAGAACAACGCGTTTCCCTGAGGTTAATACCGAGTCAGTCAACACATGATGTGACTACAGATGATTCTTCAAAAGGAGAAGGTAGGTTTGGAATACAGTACGTTTGGAAAAAGAAGGAAAACAGCAGATTTGAAAAAAAAAAACTCATAATCTATGTACATAGCAGCAAAAAGGCACTATATAGTGACTATTCAACGACATCCTTGAAAAGTCAATCGCAGAATTTTGATACAATGATTTAGCCCATACGCATTTCGTAAGAGTGCTGCCTGACCAAACGTGCTAGACGCACGAATCAATAATCATAACAATGCAAAGGAAACAGAAATAAAACAAACAGAAATACGTTTGGAAAAAGAAGGAAAACAGCAGATTTGAAAAAAAACTCACAATCTATGTACATAGCAGCAAAAAGGCACTATATAGTGACTATTCAACGACATCCTTGAAAAGTCAATCGCAGAATTTTGATACAATGATTTAGCCCATACGCATTTCGTAAGAGTGCTGCCTGACCAAACGTGCTAGACGCACGAATCAATAATCATAACAATGCAAAGGAAACAGAAATAAAACAAACAGAAATACGTTTGGAAAAAGAAGGAAAACAGCAGATTTGAAAAAAAAACTCATAATCTATGTACATAGCAGCAAAAAGGCACTATATAGTGACTATTCAACGACATCCTTGAAAAGTCAATCGCAGAATTTTGATACAATGATTTAGCCCATACGCATTTCGTAAGAGTGCTGCCTGACCAAACGTGCTAGACGCACGAATCAATAATCATAACAATGCAAAGGAAACAGAAATAAAACAAACAGAAATACGTTTGGAAAAAGAAGGAAAACAGCAGATTTGAAAAAAAAACTCATAATCTATGTACATAGCAGCAAAAAGGCACTATATAGTGACTATTCAACGACATCCTTGAAAAGTCAATCGCAGAATTTTGATACAATGATTTAGCCCATACGCATTTCGTAAGAGTGCTGCCTGACCAAACGTGCTAGACGCACGAATCAATAATCATAACAATGCAAAGGAAACAGAAATAAAACAAACAGAAATAAATACGCACACAAAAAATAACACGCACACAAAAACCATAACACGCACACAAAAACCACGCACTCAAAAAAACCCAAACAAAAATTTAGGCCAACGTCGCGCACGATACGGTAGGCGGGCTCCGGCAACGAATTTAAAGGTGGCTTCAAAAAGTGCTAATCAATGCGTTGCCATTTTTTTTTGTTATAGAGGGATCTGGAAACTTTTCTAACAAAGCAGTTTGCAAAATGTTTCCTCACGCGAGACGCGTACCCCTTACCCCTCGCACCTCGCATAACAACGGCGTCCGACACTGGCGCTGCGCTATTTGCATTCCTTGTGTAGTTTCCATTAGTGAGCGCCTTTATTGTGAACATGGTGGAGCAGTGCATACCTTTATATTTTACAAATGGAGGTTGATACAAATCAAGCTTGCTTATGAAGTTGTTTGAACGATGTTGCAGGCAACCGCCCTGTTTGCCTCATTTGTTACGTTCGATTCTTATAGGTAAAGCATGAAATCTATGGTGCAGTGACAGTGCGCGCCGCCAACGACAACCGAAGAGTTCGATCGCGCTTGCGTTCGTACAGTCGATTTCATCCCGGATTAGGCGGAACATTCCACGAGGAGCGGCGCGTGCGCGCCGCTTGAGGCTTCGCGAGCGCATAGCGGTGGCATTTTGCCAAGCAAAGACTGAGCAAATTGAAAAGACGCAGACCTCGGTTCTCAGCACGATAGGTCATACTGTAGCTGCGAAACGGCGCGAGCTAGTGCGAGGCGGACGCCCGCCAATCCAATTTCCGCCTAAAGCGGGTCGAAATTTACTGTATGTTTTGCGGCTACCAAAACGTGGTCGTGAGCAGCACGTCCTTCAGTCGGACACGTCGTGTTCCGGTTTCTTTACATCACGACATATTTCGGGGTTTACTACGGGCCCTGAAGACATTTTGAGTACTGTTTCGGCTGAAATTCCTTCTCTGTATGTCTTCATTCTTGCCAAAACACCGTAAAACCTTGATTTTGATCGTTTTTCAGGAAAACGCCTAAATTCTTTCCATTTTATCATAAAAAATCAAACAATCGGCGCGGAGTTATAGTGCGCTTCCGATTCTACATAACGCCAGAATTTGAATGCACCTCATTCGTAGAGAAAGTCCTGAACAATTCTACATAACGCCAGATTTGAATGCACCTCATTCGTAGAGAAAGTCATGAACAAAGTTGCAAAACTCTTGTACCAACCTAATACAATCGTACAATACAATCACATCAGGCATTCACAGATAGTACACTCGCTGTGTTTTGTCCTTGGCTATAAATCGAAAAAACGAAATATTTCATACTTTTGCCAAAGCGTTGCTGGTTCGGTCTCAGTTTCGCGTAAGTAGTTTGAACTCCTATAGTTTGAACTTCAAAGGCATAACAGTGAATTTTCGAACTCTACAAGTGCTAGATTTCGATGCAGGTTCAGCATAAACTGGAAAAAAAAGAATTAAAGCTTATTTTTCTCAAATACTAGCGCTTTTAGAAGACGGTTGCACATCTATAGATTTACTATTAGGGCAATTATAACACCGCTCATTCCACTGGAGTCCGCCGGAATCCGCGTCGCATCGCCACATCTCACTTCATAGACGAATTCTGAATATGGGGACGTCGTTCGATCAAGCTCGGTGAGACGCATCATTTGGTATGCAGAAGTGCCAAAATCTATCGAGGTAAGGTAGGTATAGTTATCGTTCAATTCTGCAGATTTTGTATGAATAGATTATTCAATGTGCTGGTAACAACATCGCCACTGATTTGCTGCTGATGGCACATCGTACGGATACTGTGGAAATGGTGAAGAGTCACCGTGGACTTTGATCGATGTGTACTAGGTCCAGCTAAGAGGATTTCTGATGCGCTGGTTGCTTAATTACATTCATTTGATGCTTAAGGCACATGCGCAAGTATATCTGCGATTTAGATCATTTCAGTTGTGTTCGAAACGTTGCTTATTGTTGCTTCCACGTGCTGCTTGTTCTAACCAGCAAGATCTCAAGTCGCACTGACGATCTGAAACGAAATGGTATTATCAAATGCGCCTTGATGAGCTGATTCCTAATCTAGTTTGCTCATTTGCTGAACGGCTCTCTAGTAGAAATTAAGGACTCTCCAAATCTCGCAAACAATCAGTGTCTCACAACCAAGAGTTGGCGGATTCTTCATTATGTATGTAATAGAGTTTTTGTTTTGTGGTCTACACATAACATCATGCCCATTATGGTCTTTTGAATTGGTTTTCAAAGTACAATATGCCGACCTAAAACCTCAAGGTCTCCATGAACAGGAAATGTCAGGGTCAACCCTGTCGATCTTGTTTGAATGCAAATCGTTAAAGCGTCTTGATAAGGATGTCTGCGTTTCTTAGCTTTCGATCGAGTCTCTGAGTCTCTCAGACAGCGGATAGGACCCCTCCGCCGGAGAAATGGCAGGGCCGCGGCGTTTCCCCAGCGGTGGGTCTGCCACTCGTCCGCCGGAGCCCTCCCATTTCTGCTCCGGAGACCTCCCATTTCTGCTCCGGAGACCTCCCATTTTCTGCTCCGGATACCTCCCATTTTCTGCTCCGGAGACCTCCCATTTTCTGCTCCGGAGACCTCCCATTTTCTGCTCCGGATACCTCCCATTTTCTGCTCCGGAGACCTTCCATTTTCTGCTCCGGATACCTCCCATTTTCTGCTCCGGAGACCTCCCATTTTCTGCTCCGGAGCCCTGCCATTTTCTGCTCCGCAAGTCTGCCGCGGCATACTGTAATTAGCCCTAATTAAGCTCCAAACCCCAATTTTGTCTCTAAACCCCACCCAAATTCTCAGACAATCGCTGGGGGTAGGCGGGCACCGGAAAAATAGATTGCTGATTTCTCGCACCCCGCTCGCTGATTTTTTGCAAAGCAATCAGGACTTTTCGGAAGACCGCTCGCTGAGTCAGCGGATTTTTGAGAGACCGCCTGTTGAATTTTTTTCGCTCTTATCCTTTGCAGATATATTGCTGAATCTTTGAAGAACTATCGAGAACTCAGCAAGCGGTCTTCCGAAAAGTCCTGATTGCTTTCCAAAAAATCCGCGAGCGGGGTGCGAGAGATCAGCAATCTATTTTTCCGGTGCCCGCTCAGATAATCGCCGGGGGCAGGCGGTCCGCAAACTTGCGCTTTTCTGCAGGCGGTCAGCAGAAATT